AAATCAGTCATCTTAACAGTTTTGCCAAGTCAATGCCTGTGTGCCATTCCACAGATAAAAAGAACTGGAAGCTTGGGGAAGACAGGACACAACTAGCAAGTGGCAGGGTCAGGATTCCATTATGGATCTGTTTTAGTTTAAGATACTCCCTCTTTCACAGTGTGATGTTATTCGTGGGTGTTTGGTGCCTCTTCATTCCTGCCCTCCCCACCTCTTCTTTTGCCTGGACCAGAGAGGTGAAGTTGATGGCTGCCTCTCTTCCACCAGCTGCCATTCTGTTCAGGCTACTTGTGCAGTTCACGGCAGGTCTTGCAGGAAAATCTCTCTCAGAACACCCCCTCCCAGGATGCAGCAGCCCAGATGAATGAAGGCAGGATGAGGGATAAGCCTGTCCTGCCCTAGGGGTGGCCACTCAGGAATCCCAGCTTTTCTGTACAGAGGTGTGCAGTGACCTTGCTGAATGAGAGAGTCTGCTTGAGGTCAAGTTTGCTGCTGGCCTGGGAGACCTCCCAGAAGTACATCCCACACATATGGAGTGGTTATCTTGGTCCCCACCTCAGAGGAAGGATCTTTGGAGCAGTCATTGAAAAGCACAAATCCTCATCCTGCATGTAATCCAATGAGGCACTTATCCTGAGGGGGACAAGAAGATCTACAGGTGTCTTCCTCTGATGGAACCTGGTCAGTGACTCTCTTGCAAAAAAACAGGAATTTAGGATGAGCCTGGGCAGAAGGTTATAGGAAAGACCCCTCCCAACTATATACCAGCTCCCTGCTGTCTCCAGAAGCCTCTCCCTTGCTGGAAATTGGAAGGTCTTCCCATGGCCTGGGCTATGCATCCATTTCTCCTCCTCTTCCAATGTCCCAAAGCCTGAGTCTTGTGACCCAGTCTGCTGGGCCAGCCAGCCAGGCAGTAAAAGGAGATTGATGCCCTCTCATCCTAAGAAAATCCATCACTTCTTGGCATGCAGGTCAGATGGCTTCACCAGAGGCAGCTCTGTGCAGCACTGTGCCAGCTAAAAATAAGCCTAGCAGGGACCCAAATAGATGTGTGGACGTCAGAAATGAAACGGTTCATGATGGCCAGTCCCCAGGGCCTGGCAGAGCCCGTTCCTCCCACACTTTCTCCCATCCACACCCTCTCCCCAGAGTTTTGTCTGCTCTGAACTGTGTCCTGCAGGGGAACTCCTCCCCTTTCCCTTTGGGGCAATGCTATAGGAGAATCCAGGATAAGGTGGGCAAGGGGAGGTTGGCCAGGAATGGAAGACGGTAGAAGGTGAATGGGACCTTTTGGTGGCTGTATAGTCAGGAATGACAGAGCCAAGGCAGCCTAATGGAAATGAAAGGAAAAGGCTTGGAAGACATAACAAGAAGAGAGAATCCTTTCCGGGCTGTTTTTTACCTCTGTGAATTTGGAGAGTTACCCTCGCTTTTATTTTCTCATCTGTAAAAGGGGTGCAATGACACTTCCGGGGCTGTGATGAGAATTAACCTTGCACACTTTGGGGTACATTATTTTCTTTTTTACCTACCTTTTCCTCAGTAGGATCAGGGAAAGAAGCCACTCAATATTTTGGAGCTAGAATCTCATGGGTACATGGGGTTGTCCACATGGAAGCGATTTGCATTATTCATTTGGCTTGAACCCAGCCTTTCTCTGTGAAACTCTCTAGTTGCCCATGGAGCTTCTTATCCCCAGGCCAGGAACAAGTTCTCTTCTGGAGGAGGGTGGAATGGAGTCTCTTTTTATTTCTTGTTCCTTCTTCTCTCCCTTCATTCCTTCTCCCCCTCGTCATCCCCATGGTCCAGCACAGGTATGGTCTGAAACCCTTCGCCCTGAAGACAACCAGAATGAGCAGGCAGTTTTATTCTGAGCTACTGGGCATTTCAGTGTTCCTGAAAAATATCTGCTTGCGCATTTGGGGAAGATGCTTTGGCCCATCGTGGGCTTCCAGCCTGCCTTTTGCATGTGTGTGCAGAGAGCAGACAGCTTCCCTGAACGTGGCTGCCTGCCCCCTGCTATGCTCAGCACCCACAGCTGTCTAAACTCCCACTGGGGGTTGGCAGCTCCTGCCAGATTCTCAACTCTTGGGACTTTGAGGGACGGTTGGGAAATCACTCGCTGAGTGTTGCTCATCTTGGCTCATCTGAATCTTTCAGGGCCTGTGATTCTTGCTGCCGAGTGAAGGAAAGGAGAAGGAAGGCTTCCAAGAAGTGACCCAGGCATGGCAGCTGAGAGAGGGGGTTCAGCTCTTTCTAATGTGCCCCTCTTCTCATTTTACACTCACTACAGCCGAGAGAGAGTTGCCCTGCAGGAAGCTAGTGAGGTCACCCAGCCCAGAGTTGGTCTTAGCGACCAGGGAAAACATCTAATGTTACTTTACCTTTGTGAAGATGTTTCCAGAACATTAGATCAGAAAGACATGATTTTTATGGCACAGATGGGCAGGCAAGGCCCTGGGAGGAGCTGGCACTCAGTCTAGGACACACAACTGAGGAAGGAAGGAGGGGCTTCCAGGTAAGGCCAGGACCCCTGACCCTCTCCTGGTCTTTTGGAGGTGAGGTGTGACTTAACAATGGATGTGACACTTGTGAAGTCCTAGCTCTATAGGTAACAGCTTTCGTCAGCTAGCTAATTCTTCACCCCATAAGAATTGGCCAGTTCTGGTCCCCCCAAGTGTACTTGCTGAACCAGCAGCACCAATATCATCAAGGAACTTGATGTGTATTCCCAGGCTCCACTGGACCCCCTCAGTTGGACTCTCTGGAGTCGGAGACCAGGAATCACCCACACATACTCTCTGGGTGATTTTGGTGGACCCGGGGGGTTGAACTCAGGGCCTTGTGCTTGCTAGACAAACGCTCTACTGCTTGAGCCACGCCCCCCAGCTGTCTCTGGGTGATTCTCATGCATTGGTCAAATTTGCAGTGCAGAAGGAATGGGGTTGGGTTGGGTCTGTGACTAAAGGGGGCTCTTCCCCAAGTGACTTGGCTTCTCTGGGTTCCATTCCCATCTCTGTCACCAGGCAGGGACTTGACTTGGAAGACTTAAACATCTGCAAACCTCCACCTGCAATAGCTCAGGTAGTAAGTAGGTAGATAGAACTTGGACCATTCCCTCACACCTATTTTATGGATGAGGAATCTGAGAACCAAGAGGTATTGTAAGATGTGCAAACCCAAGGAGGTTCCAGGACGTCGTGGCCCAAGCGCCTCTGGCTGCTCAGCCCTCCAATCCCTGCATGTTCAGAGACTGGGGCTTGGTATCAGAGAGCTGCCTTCCCCAGCCTCTTTTTCACTCACAGGGCATGCCAGGCCACTTAACTTGCAGAAACCCGTGCATCATCACTGGTCACCTGGGAATGATTAGGCAGTGATGAGCAGATGGCTCCCCAGAGAGGTCCTGACCCTCCCTTTTCCTGTCAGTGGGAGACTATTTAGCCTTCCCCTTCAAGGCCATTCCTCAGAGGTTGGGAGGTAGACACAGAAGGTACGTCAAGACTTGTCAAGATTGGGGCACAGCTTGGTAGTGTGTGGAGCCTCTTTGCAGCCCTGTGGCCAGTGAGGAGCATCTACCAGCAGCTGTCAGCCTGCAGGTCTGTCTTGATGGGGAGGAGAAAATAACGGTCTGTCAATGTTTCCTCCCACAAACACTTGCAAGGAAGATCATCTTAGGATATTGCAGGACATGGAACTGTGATAGAAAAAAAAAGCAATTCCCAAACCCACCAAGACAGTAGCCAAAGCCTTCCAGCCATGTCCCCTCTGTCCCTGTCACGTGGTCACTCACCCATGGGAACAGTTGGCCACAGTCCTACATCTTCAGCCTTAATTTTTTGACAAGGTCATTGGAGACAATCCTCTTTCCTGGCTCCACAATGCTCTTCGTCATGTTAATACAGGTATTTAATGGGCTTCTGCCTGTTGAACAATTAACGGAAAGGTCACTGGGTAATCTCCGGCTCACTCTTTTCATCGCCAGCCCACTGCTTGTACAATTCCTTGGTAGCATTCTTTCCAAAGAGGTGGGAGGGCTGAGGTCACCACGCTGCTTTCTCCTGGCAGACAGACTTTAATTAGGTTGCTAAATGAGCAAAGGCAGAGGCAATCCTTCCCTTTGCACAGACCCTCGTTCTGGGGCCGTCTTTTAACTCGCCACTTGTAATCTCATTGGTTTGTCTCTTTTTTAGAGGAGAGGAATTGGCCCAGTAGAGGTTTTTCTGAAATAATTTTACTAGTAGTTTCTACCACCATGAACCAGAGATTCCACAGAGGGCCACCAGACTGGGGTCATTACATGTTACACAAGAAGCAGTGTATGTATATGTATGTGTGTGTGTGTGTGTGTGTGTGTGTGTGTGTAGACATGACTTTAGTTTGTCCCAAGCACTGGTCTAAGCTCTTTATATGAATTATCTCATTTAATCATCATAAGAATTCAGCCAGGAAGGTATTGTTGCTAAACCCATTTTACAAATGAGGAAATTGAGGCTATGGGTTAAATAACTTTTCACAAACTCAAAAAAAAAAAAATCAAGTAAGGGGATACAGCCCAGCTTCAAATCTAATTTTCAGCCATACCCTGGAAACCTCACTATCCTGACTGGAAAAGTCTGTTAGGAGTGGAGATTCTCAGATTCTTGCATTTTACCAGGATTCCCTGGGAGTTCCTGTACACAATAGCCAAAGACTGCTGTATCCTATCCACCATGCATGACAACCACAGCTAATTTATACCAGAGTCCTGCCCATTCACTGCTACTGACTCTCCTTCCCAGCTGAGGAAGCTGTGGTTTAAAGAGGTTAGGACTAGTCAGGGACAGAGTGGGACTTGATTCTGTCTCAGACTCTCACCAAAGTGTGCCAGTTTCCATGACAACATCGGGATGCTAGACTTCACCTTTCCCTGCTGAGAAATTAGAAGTGCTGAGAGCCCTTGCTCACTTTCCTGACAAGCCCCAAGGACTGACTTTCCTCCCTCCTCTGTGACCTCTCCACAGATGTGCAGCACATCAAGAGGCGGGACATCGTGTTGAAGCGAGAACTGGGGGAGGGGGCCTTTGGAAAGGTCTTCCTGGCCGAGTGCTACAACCTCAGCCCAACCAAGGACAAGATGCTCGTGGCAGTGAAGGTAACTCCTGGAGCATGTGGGTACCAGGGAGACGGCCAGCTGAGGGCTGGGTAGAGAGAGTGAGAGGCTCATGCATTCCCCACTTGGGAAGATGGTACCAGACTGGCCTTCTCAGGTGCAGTCATATCGCCTTGATCCCAGATCAGTGACGTTTCCAGTGAACCAAAACCAGCTTCCTTTGACTTTGAAGGTCAAGGGCTGCAGTACTTGAGAACAACTTGGGGAACAAGTTGTGCTGGTGAAAGGTGCTGATTTTAGTCTGGAGGTCCTGGCTCAGTGACTCTGCAGAATGAGTTATCTGTGCCTGGAAAGGCGCTCAATCATTTCTCCCAGAGCTGGACCAAATGGCTGCCTGAAGAGACCTGGGGACTCTCTGCTTATGAGTGTCAGAGGTCACTGGGAATAGAAGATGGGTGTGGAGGTGTTGTCAGGCATTTAGCACATGCAGAATGAGGTTGGGAGAAATTCTTCAATTTCTGTCATGGGATCCAGGTTCTGACACCAAGGGGCAGATGGCAGAGGTTGGCTGCTTCCTGGCAGCTGCAGGATGGGTCCTTAACCACACAGCTAGGTGTGCAAGGCTCAGGGAAGGTCTGTAGCTGAATTGCTTAGGGGCAAGAAAGATGGGGCTTGGCTGCCACCAGTGGGCCTCCTCCACCCTTGCTTCTACACTGAAGAGCTTCTATGTGGGACGATGCTGGACAAGTCTTGGGACTTGGTTGACTCAAATAAGAGCCATGTAGCTTAGCTGAGGCACCCATGGCTCTCTGGAGTCAAGGGTGTGGAGTGGCCCCTTTGGATACAGTAAGCAGACTTCTGAGGCCATTAGGGAGTCTGCAAGATGTTTTGGGATGTAGGAGCAAGACATAGGGCTACCTGTGAAGACTCTAAAATCTCTCACCAGGGCCTTAAAAGAGTCCATGGAACTGGAGACTCTGGTGGAGCCTCCATCAGGAAAGCCGTTCCATGTTTCTGTGACTTCCGGGTCTCCGTTTATAGTCATATATGTCTGTAGATTGCCTGTGTCCACAGAGGACCAGTGACCATCATGACTGCAGGCAGTGTGGTGCAGGGTTCTGGGAACCAGAGAGCTGGGGTTGGGAAGGGGGACAAATCCCAGCTCCATCACTGATTTGTTGGTGACTGTGTGCAGGACACCTAACCTTGCTGGGCCTCAGTTTCCTAATCTGCATAACAGGAATTGTAGTATCTCTTCCTTAGAATGTTGATCAATTCCACTGTGTAATGTGTGCAAAATCTTTGCTGCTTGGGTCATAGTGAATGCTCAATAAAGACTATTATTGTCATTATTATTATAGATGTTATTATAGCTGTGCAGCTTGAACTCTTGATCACCTTGATTCAGCCTTCGGAGTGCTGGGATTACAGATGTGCTATGCACAACCCAGCCTGTTAAGTGTTTTTTATCATCATCTTTACTATTGATGTTGACTTTACTAATACATGCCAGAAGGCCTTCCAGGCTTTCACTAATCTGTAGAATAGGGCTTGCCAGACTTTTCCTCTACAGGCCAGAAGGTGTATTTTCGACTTTGAGGCCCAAACACTATCTACTGTCACTAATTAGCTATACCCATGTAGTGTGAAAGCAACATAACCATACTTTAACCAACAAGGGTAGCTGTTTTCCAATAATTTTAAATATACAAAACAGGTATAGATTGCTGACCTCTGTTCTAGAAAATGAGAAGCTAGAATATCACTCCACAAGAGGCTGTCACTTGTTGTGACTGTATGTCTTGGGAATGAACTTGCTCATTGTGTTTCCGTAGACATGGATGGTCACGTAAGCGAGAGTGTCTTTAAACAGCTTGGACCAGGGATGTGGAATGGTTTCTAATTTTGTGCCTAAACTTAGAGTCTACACTTCTCTGACACTTTAGTATGATGCTAACCTACTGGATATTCTGGTGTCCATATGGGAACTGGTGAATGAACTGTACAGTTTGGCATTTTTGAGCTGGAAACCAAATGATGTCCCAAGTCCTGGGAAGTGGGTCCCCCTGAGTGGTCTGGAATTGAGGTACAGTACTCAAACTAGGTTATACAAAAAATATGTTGCTGACAGTATTTCTTTGTGTGTGTGTGTGTGTGTGTGTGTGAGACTGGGGTTTGAATTCAGGGCTTTGCTCTTGTAAAGCAGGTTCTCTTGCTTGAGCCACACTTCCAGTCCACTTTGCTCTGCTTACTTTGCAGATGGGTGTCCTGATCTATTTGTCCAGGTTGACCTCAAACCACAATCCTCCCTATCTCAGTTTCAGCTTCCCAAGTAGCTAATATTACAGGTATGAGCCACCAGGACCTGGCCTGTTGCATTCTTTAAAAAGCATTTCATTCTCTCTGTGGGTCTGGGAACCTCTAGGAAGTGATCTGAGAACTCTGGAGTTCGATGCCATTTGCCACCCAGTGGACCTGTCAGGCGAGTCCTGGAGAAGAGCCCTCTCTTCCAGAGATCCCCAGACGCCACATTCCCTGCTCCCTGTCCTTTTTAGATTTGACCCCCTTTGTGTCCTTCCTCTGAGTTTGTTCCCATGTCCGTGCAGGGCAGTTTTGTACTTCTGGAGGATGCTTTACAAGTATAGCCCAAGATTAGGTTTCCTCAAAATTGTGGCTTTAAACCAATTGGTGAGTTTTTTGTTTTTGTTTTTTTTTTTTAACCAGCAGTTGCTGCGATGGAAATAAAAGAATGGCAATCACAGTCTCTGTTTTTAAGGAGTCTGCAGCCTGCTGGGAGCCCAGATAAACTGCCATGAAACAAATAGGAAGGAGGACAAGACCGAGCATAACTTGTGCCTGTGAGCAGTGTGTGAGATTACAATATACGTGCTCCTTGGCTTATAATGGGGCAACACACCCAACAAACCCATCATAAGTCGAAAATATCTCAAGACAGAAATGAATTGGACAGTCAGGCAAGGGAATTTATGCCTGTAATATGAGCTTTGGGGAGGCAAACCTCAGGAGGATTGAGTCTCAAGGCCAGCCCTGGCAAGATGCTAGCATGACTCCATCTCAACAAATAAGCCAGGTGTGGTGATGCACACTTGTGATCCCAGCTGTGCAGGAGGCATAGGCTGGCCCTGGACAAAAACGCAAGCCCCTACCTATCTGAAATATAACTAAAGCAATAAAAGGCTACGGGTGTGGCTCAAGTGGTAGAGTGCCTGCCTAGCAAGCATGATGTCCTGAGTTCAAATGCCAGTACTTCCAAAAAAGAAAAGAAAATACACACATAACCTACTGAACATGATGGCTTGGCCGCAGTCTACTGGAGCGTGTTAGCTGTTTCCATGGAGAGCCCTCGGTTGACTGCTGCCTTCCAGCTTCTGGAGAGAGGATTGGATCACATTCACTAGCCCCGGAAAAGATTAAAGTTCAAAGTGAAGTTTTTACTGTTGGTATCTTTTCAGTCTGGGACTTATGATGTCATGGGGTTCATAATTTTAAATAGTCACTTGACAAACAATACTCTCATGTGACATTCCAACCCAGACAAAGCCCTTGCTTCACAAGCTGGGGGACAAGGCCTTACCACTCTTTCTGTTTTCCTTCTCTGTCATTCCATGTTCTGCCCTGGGTAAGCATCAGTGCTCTTCTAATTCATGAGCTCTTATGGTGTGATGTGTGCTGGAGGTTTTTTTTTCTGTCTATGGAGGGTTTTGTTTTAACTTAGTTTATTTCCAAGATGCCTCATTGGTTCTTACTTGTTTGTCCTTTTTATTTCTCCCTGCCCTTACTGTCTACTTTCTTACTATTTTTTAAGAAGTCATTATTTATTCATTCTCTTATTTATTTATAAAAATCTTCGTGAACTTGATCTGCAGGGAATTCACGTTCCAGTTTTTGACAGTTTGATTCACTTAGCTTTAGCATTGCTTTTCTTCCTGCATGTCTGAACTCTTGGATTCCTTTAGGTTTGCATGGTCATTTTTTGTTTGTTTGTTTGGGGTATTTAGGATTTCTTCTTACAGTTACTTCAAATTGGAAAAGGAACTTAAAACATTTGTGAAACAATTTAAGGAAAGAAATCTAAGATTTTTATTATTTTCCCAACTGCAAGTGATTTTCCCTTCTGCCCTTCACTTTTTAAATTTTTTTTGTGTTGGAGATTGAACTGCAGGCCTTGTGCTTGCTGGACAAGTGCTCTACCACGTGAGTCACATCCCCAACCCCAACTTCAGAATGTCTCCAACTTCAGAGACCCCCTTTGGCAAGACCCTAACCCTGCCATAGTTGCTGGTGACAATAAACACCAGCTCTGCCCCATGCCATTGACTGGTGACCCATTTTGCAGTTTCCCAGCAACCAAGAAAGTACTAGATTGGACAACCCAGAGAGGGTAAGAGAGCCTCTGACCCAGTTTTGCTCCTCATTGTTCTCCTGTCATCTCTGTTCTAATTGCATCAACTCCTGGGGACTGGAGCCCCTTGCAGCTCTGGATCCCAGGTTACTACACCCCACACTTGGACAATGACCTAAGACCTTCAGGTTTGACCCACCTGCTGGAAAAGCCAGTGTGAAGGCAGAAGGGGTATGGAAGACAGAAGAGACAGCGGCTGCTTTGTGTTCCATTTCTCCAAGGGGCAACTCCTGTCTGCCTTGCAGTGCAGGGTGCCAGCCTGGGGGATGCTGACTGGTACTGCTCAAGGCTGAGAACGGAAATGTCCCATGACTGCCCCTGACGTCTGGACTGTGGGAGAACATGATTTAAAGAGATGGAGAGAGGCCATTTGGCTGGCCCCAAATTTGATCTACTTTTCCTGCTCATAAATCCAGCATTCACATAAATCTTTATATTCTCCCATCCCACCCATGCTGGGTTCCAGGTTTTTTTTTTTCTTCTTCAGGAAAATAAATAAATCACTCTTAGTCATCCAATACCCATGCCTCAAGCCATGTAGCTCAAACCTGTCTCTCAACATGACTCTCTGGCTTGCAAATGTCCTGGTTTGAATTGCAGGTGGACATTACAGCTTAGGCTTTTATTCACAGGGAGCCAACCAAGAGCAAGCAGTGGAGAGCACATAGAATTAGGTCTGATAGCCCAGGCAAGAAGTTTGTGAGACCCCATTGCAACCAATAAAAACTGGGAGTGGTGATGGGTGCCTGACATCCCAGCTATGTAGGAAGCATAAATAGGAGAATTGCAATCCAGGCCAACTGGGGCATAAGTGAAACCTTATCTCAAAAATCCAAAGCAAAAAGGGCCTGGGGGTGTGACTCAAGAGGTAGAGCACTTGCCTAGCAATTGCAAGGCTCTGAGTTCAAACTCCAGTACTGCCCCCACCTCCCCGCAAAAAGAATTATATCTGATAAAAATCAGTGATGGACTAGTACAATGAGTCTCCCCCTTTATTTCTGTGTTCCGCTGCCCTACAGGCCTGACACACTGGGCCTCAGTTTTCTCGTCCGTAAGATGGGAAGGTTGTGCTTGGTAACTTCCAGCATCTTTGTGAGCAGTAGTACAAAATGGTGCATTCTTCCAAGTTTACCTAAGAATGGAAGGTGGGCGGTTTGAAATTGGGGTGGGGCTTGATCTTTGGCTGAGAGACACATTCCTCAGATGGCCCTTAATGTATTGAACTCCACGGGAGATGGCTCAAGTCCACCCTCACTCAAACTATCTGTCATTTAAGATGTGTGAATGTGGGCTGATTCTCAGAAACAAGCTCAGCCTCAGTTTCTCCAGCTTCCCAGGGGGAACAGATGATATCTAGAGTCCCTTACTTGCTAAGAGTCCAGCATCTTGACGTGTGCTGACGACTGAGTCTTCAAACCCACCCCCCACCACCAGATCCACCTGCTTTTGCAAATCCACACATATGGGAGTAGGTGCAGTGCTGGGATCCAAAGCAGCCTGCAGATTGTGGCTAATGGGGCTACAGTGGAGGCAGAAAGCTCTCTGGCTCAGGAGGCCTTCAGAGTTTGTATGATCTACAGATGATTCTGCCTGGATAACCAGGAAGGTCCAGCAGAGAGAATGTGAATCAATCTCCAGTCTGTATAGACTTTCACTAGCCTAAAAGTGGTGGGCAATCTCACCCTTACTTCCTCATTGCCTAGTGTGTGTGGACCGTTGGCTCCATTTCTTCTGACTTTGTGGGGAAGGGTACACAGGCTGCTCCTCTAGTCAAGAGACTCCTTTCCTGCACAGGTCATGGTCCATTCTGGCCAGTCTTGCTCATCCTCATGGTGGTGCCCTCCATGCAACAATCACAGCCTTCAGCTTTGGTCTCATGGTTCCCTCTGATGCTGCTTTTCCTGATGCATTCATCTTCTGGGATCTGGAAGTGTCCTGCTCTGCCCTTCTTCCTCCTGCCTGGATCTCCCATCCCCACAGGGATGAGTAACAGCATTTTGGTGGCCACCAGAGCCCCCCTTTCTTGTCCAATACTGGGACCTGGTGCTTCTCTACCAGGTCCTGACTGCATCTAACGCTTCTATTAACTGCTGTTCCCATGGCTGCCACCTCATCTATCCCTACCCTTTGTGTGCTTCCTCCAAACCCTTGGTAAAAAAACAGTGCATTCTAGAAGCCAGTCTTTGTTCTCTTTTGCAAAACAGACTTCTTATTGAGAAGTAAGGAATCAAATGATGATGACTGGTATATCGCCTGCCTGATTTTTGTGGGCTATGAGTGTGTAGGAATTTGCACAGAGGAATTGGTACAGTGGTTTCTATACTGTTTACATGAGCAGAGGGGTAATTTCTGGGGAGGAAACCTTAGGGGTGGGGGCTCTGTCAGTCTTTCCATCTCACAGCCCTGTCCTGTGCCATTCATACTTGCCCCTAGGGAAGCCTAGAGCTCAGACATGAACACAGGTTGAAGTTGGTGGCCAGTAACTGGAAATGTCAGTGTCAGAAAGTACCTTTCTCTTTCTATAGGAATCAAAATGCTAAAGGAGGAAGGGGACAGGCATTGTTGTGTAAGTTAGCTTCGTTGCCTTTAAATTCTGCTGAAATTATATTTATTGGGAACCGGGCAGTGTTTGTAGCATGCCAGGTTTTGCCAGAAGGAGAAAAGGCAGCCTTCTAGTTGCTAATGGCTTGTGTTGCGTTGTTCCCAGGCCCTGAAGGATCCCACCCTGGCTGCCCGGAAAGATTTCCAGAGGGAGGCCGAACTGCTCACCAACCTACAGCATGAGCACATTGTCAAGTTCTATGGGGTGTGTGGCGATGGGGATCCCCTCATCATGGTCTTTGAGTACATGAAGCATGGAGACCTGAACAAGTTCCTCAGGTAAGCCAGGACCCATGTCTTCGTTGTCCCTCCACCATTGCAGTCCTGCCATGCTCCTGGGGTTTTCTCTGGGACTGGAAGTCATATGTCCCCCTCTTGAATGTTTAAGTCTGAGAAATGAGAACTGAGAAACACCCTTTCATTCTGATCACCCATGCTTAACAGCACCTGGACTTGGGCCTTAGTCTCAATGACAAAAAATCTATACTCTTCTTTTTGATTCCAAGATGGACTGAAAAGAACAGTAGGGTCTGGAATGAGTTCCATAAAGATCCCTGAGGGCTCATCAACCTGTGACTTCCAAGTTCAAGATTCTAGAGCCACCCTCCCCCAACATTGCACGTCTTAGGTGTTCTGCTTGCAAGGTGAGGTGAGGTACAAGGTTTCCTTAAAACCTTTCCAGGGGCTTTTTATGATGAATAGGAAGGTCTGAGGTTATGAACCCATCAGAAGAGAAAGATGGTTGGGAAAAAGGGTAGATTTTTCTCAAGTAAATACTAGAACTATGTTATCCGATAGAGTAGCCATGTACGGCTATTTGGGTTTATATTTACATTAGTTAAAGTTCAATAAAATTAGAAGTTCAACTTCTCAATCTCACTATCTGTACCATTTCAACTGGTAGACACTTGAAATATGGCAGGTTGGTAGCCATGCATGTTATTGACTACCGTACTGAGAAGCACTGAATACATGATCTCCATCATTTGAAAATTCTGTTGGATAGCACTGTGCTAGAAAGAATGGATTTGTTGCAAGAAGGGTTTCTATTGCTTGGAACAGATCATCTTGACTTTGAGAGGCTCTGATGAAACTGGTGAGAGAAAGTTCTAGGTGGAGTTGCAGGGGTAAATCTATTGTCTCCAGATACCACATCATCTCACCACTGAAACAGTGAGGACTGCTCTGCCTTCCATAGCTTCCAACTCCCAAATAGTGCTCAGATGAGGGAATAGCCATGTGTGAGGATCTGTGAAATCCAGGGTCCCAAGAAGCGGGGTGAACACTCAGGTCTTGAACACTTAGGATGTGGTGTTCTGCCACTGTACCATTTAAATACCATGGTATTCCACAACTGAGGATGAAATTTCTGGAGTTCAGATATGATAGAAGGCTCTGGTCTACTCATCAAATCAGATGAGTATCCCCTTGAAGTGGAACATTCAATAGAGTGTTGTGGTTTTGAGGATGGAATGAAAGAGGTGGTAACTGGAGGAGTCTTTGGAGCTCTACTTATGAGCTGGGTTTCTGCAAACTGGTCCTAGAGGGGTTGGAAGTATCTGTAGGATGTTCTAAGTCTCTAAAGCTGAGTTTACAATGAAATTGGTTCCTGTCCTGCAGAACTCAGTCCTTAGCCAAAGACAGACCAGGGTTCATATCCTGGATTTGTCACATCTTAGTTACAACTGGAACAAGCCTTCATTATCTCTCCTAGAAAACAGACTAATATACTCTCTACAGCTGTTGTTATGAATATTCAATGACTATACATGTATAATGTCTGGATGAGTTTGGCATGTAACTAGGTGTTCAACCAATGGTAGCTACTATTAAAGTTACTACTATTATAACTGATTTTATGAAAACTGTGAACCACGGTAGCTTCTGACCCAGGTGACACCCTGTCCCAGTACTCAGAATTTCCTTGCCTTGAGTTTTGGTTGCCCTGGGGTCAGAGGTGCATTTCCCATTTTGTCCACATCTTCTCCATGGATCCAGCCATACTTTCAGCCCACATTTCACCGAATCTGAGAGACTGCCCAAGAATCTCTCTGTACCATTGTCATGCTCAACAGAAGGAAAGAGTAAGAAAAGAGGAGCACAAGGCGGAGAAAGAGTAAGAGGCAAAACAAAGGCAAGGGGTGGCAGACACATAAAGTTAGAAATGGGACTGCAGACCAAAAGAAACAGAAAAGACACATAAGGCAAGGGGCAGAGTCTTCACTGACGGTATACTTTCTTATTCTCCAGGGCAGAAAGTGCCAGGAAGGCACATGTGTGAGCACCATTGTGTTCAGACTGTGTGTTTCTTTGCAGTCCCTTCCTGAAGACATCATGTGACAGTTGATTCAGATAGAGGTTTCTGGGAGCATTTTTTTGCAACCTAATCTTTTGACCAGTTTCCCAGTAGTTGCTGTTTTTCTGTCTTCTGAGGCTGTCAGCCAAGGCTGAGCTTCTCCAGAATGCCCTAGGCTGATACCTCTTAGCGATGGGTCACACCAACCTTTGCTGGGGGCTGGCTCCCACTGCTCCCTGAAATGCAGCCTCTGTGTGACCCCCAGGCTGGCCTTGTTTGCTTTCTTGTCTTCAAGTTGGGGGTGTTTAGGGGCAGGCTGGAGTGTACTGTCCTGGTAGACAGGGGTGGTGAGCGTTTTCCCTTCTGACTCCACTCTTGCTAGCTAATACAGCATTCTACTTCTGAGGAGTGAGGTAGGCAGAGCCCACCAGAGATAATAAAATGAGTATGTTCCTATTTAATGGTTGCCTTTCAGTGGAAATTGGAGAAGCAGTAAAACAGGGCTGAGGCCTTGCTGTACACCCGGGCTGTTGGCCCACCACTTCGTAAATAAGGGCCCTAGTGTGGTTATGGCTCATTGGGCTTTCTGTAGAAAAGAGTGAACACTAAAAGTGACTGATATGACAGGGCAGGGTGTTAGATAAGAAACCCAGGCCTTAATTTGGGATGGAGAGGGTGTGTGTTTCAGAGTCAGAGGGGCTCTCCATCCTGCCTTGATCCCTCCGTGAGATACCCAGTCCTGAGCAGTGTGGTAGAGTGGTCAGGAGTACGGGCAGAGTATTCTACTGCACACTGTTGGAGTGTGGGCTGCCCATCAGCCCCGTCAGCATTGGGAGTGTGTGGGAAATGCAAATGAATGAGGTTTACCTAGCTAATCAGAATCAAGGGAACGGGGTCTGCGTATCTGTTTTAAGCCCTACTGATGCTTCTTTTGGCAGCTCTCCTTTACTGTGGCTTTAAAGTTTGTATCCAAATTGTCTGATAGCTGTTTTGGAACCTCTTGGACTTTGGCTGAGTAATCTGGGTGGTCATTTTGTGCCTCAGTTTCTTTATTTTGAAATTGGAGTGGGAGGATTAACGGAATATATTGAAAACAATCAGAATAGCTGAATAGCACGTAGTGAGGACTATGTAAGAGTCAGCGGTCATTGTTTTAGCAATTACTCTATGACACACAGCTAGTACTTGGGAACCCCCGGGGTAGTAGTAAAATATTAAAAAGAATAGGTTTATTTCTTGTTCCATTTGAGTATGCTTGCTGTCATCTTAGTTGGAAATCTGGTTGTGGAGTTTCACCCATCATCATACTCACTTAATAGAGTTTTGGGGAAAGAGAAATAGGCCACAGGCAGTCTATGGGGTGTTCCAAACAGGAGCCAAACAGGCCTTTCCCCTTGATCTCCTGAATTCTCTCTGCTCCGTTCTTCCTTCCCTCCCTCTTACAGGGCCCATGGGCCAGATGCGATGATCCTGGTGGATGGCCAGCCACGCCAGGCCAAGGGTGAGCTAGGACTCTCCCAAATGCTTCACATCGCCAGTCAGATCGCCTCGGGCATGGTGTACCTGGCCTCCCAGCATTTCGTGCACAGGGACCTGGCCACCAGGAACTGCCTGGTTGGAGCCAACCTGCTGGTGAAGATTGGAGACTTTGGCATGTCCAGAGATGTCTACAGCACCGACTACTACAGGGTAAGGTGATTTTCCCAGCTGCAGGACTCAGTGGCAGAACTAGCACCTTGCTTACATGTCTTTGTCATTGTCCATTAACCCCGTCACTTGGTGTGCACATATACACATGCATGCCCAGATATTCAATCAACAGTTATCTTTTGGCCACTCCTGCATCATAACATGCCTGCTTATTATTGTCTCAATAGGCCACTCCTTCTTTCCTCTTGGACATTTGAGCAGACTGAATCCATACATCTCAATAACCTATGCATTGTGTTCTTAATTTCATCAATGCTTTTGTTCATGCAAGCAGGCTCATATACATACACAAGGATGCCCAAATGCACGCCAGACAAGCCCAACTTGGTGCTACATTTTAACATCTCCCAATGCAGTCCCTGATCTAGCCTCACCCATGGGATGTTTTATTGTCTCTCATATTATTGTCTTGTGACCATGTAAGGATTATCTTGTTTCCAAAGGTAGATCTTGATAAAATGAGGAGCCTAAAAAAATGGTAAAAATAGTGTTGAATAGATCATTCTAATGGCTTTCTAACTTTGTGTAGGACAGGTTAGACCTTTGAGTAAGACTTCTGGTGGTGAGGGAGCCACCATGTTCATTTTTAAATCCATACAATTTTGATTTCATATTAATGAGATGTTATTTTGCAGCTATAATAATTTTTTCTCTTAGTCTTTGGAAACCTCCTACTCATGGGTCATTGAGTAGTTCTGTCTCTTTTATTATTACCAGGGAAAGTGTAAGTGGTCATTCCAGAAGCTAGAAATGAGAGCACAATTTGAGACCCAGAGATGGAATAATGTCATCAAGCTGGTCAGAAGGCAGATGCTTATAAAATATGGAAGATTTATGCTGAGTATTGTGGCACATGCCTGTAATGTCAGCTCTTGGGAGGCTGAGGCAGGAGGATTGTGAGTTTGAGGCTACTCTAGGTTACATAGCAAGACCCTGTTTCAAAAAAAATTTAAAAAATTAAAATATGGAAGATTTACTTTGGGGGCATTGACTTGGGAAGAAGGATAGGTGGCATAAAAGGCAGAATATTTGGAGGAAGAAGAGTTTCTTAGTCTCTTTGGGCTACTTGACAAAAAAATGCCATAAACTAGAGAGCTTACAACAACACAAATTTTTATTCCTCACAATTCTGGAGCCTGGAAGTCTAACATCAAAGCTCCAACAGATTTCATGTCAAGTAAAAGCCTGCTCCGTGGTTCATAAATGGCTGTGTGTCCTCACATGGCAGAAGGGGAAAAGGATCTCTCTGAGATCCTTTTGTAAGGGCGCAAATCCTATTCATGAAGCCCCACCCTCATGATCTAATCACCCCTCAGTGCCCCTCAGTATTGTTAATACCATTAGTTTGAGGGTTAGATTTGACGTATGAGTTGGTTACAGTACTAACATTGTCTATAGAAGGAGAATGGAATCCAATCATTAATAATAACTAATAATCATATTGTCAGTCACAGAGCCTGGATATGAATGTCCTGTTGGCCTGTCTATGATAGACCAGGAGGCTAGGGATTTGGGATTGTCACATGTGTGCAAATCAGGTCTATCTGCATGTTCCTGATGGCTTTGTCTAAACATGATCACCGAGGCATTAAAAGTGATCACGCAAGGAACGTTAACAATGGCCCAGGGAAAATTAGAATCTTGAGAAATGCCTTTTATGACTATAAAGTGACTTGTTCATGGTACAAGCAAAGGATGGCAAATGATATGCCATCACAAGCACACAGGAGGCAATGGAAACCAAAAGTGGGGAAACTACAGTGTCCACAGCACACTGGATAGCTTCCCTAGCTACTCGCTCAACTCAATATTCCCAGACATAGCAAAGGGAACAAAATACAGCAAAGTCACAGACAGATGACCAGGACAGACCTGCCAGGAAATATCAAAGTTTAGTCTTTCTTTAGCATTTAGACCATTTTTTTCTCAGTCATTTCCAAGTGAGGCATCAGTGTGGTTACTAAGGGGGCCCATGGGTCATAGATTTCTTAGAGGCTAGCTGGAGCTGGCACCACTTAATCGCCTTCCACTCTGTATAATGGGGTTTGCTGGCTTGCTGACTGAGCGCAGATTTATGGTGGTGTTGATGAAGTAAGGGATGGCTCACTGTTCTTTTTCTGTGCAAGGCAGATATTTAATTATGCCAAGTTGATCTCTATTGTCTATACCAAGGTTTGGAAAGCCATGTCTGACCAGAATGTGCAAATTGAACCTTCTTCTAGGTTTATACTTAGCAGTTCTCGGTTCTGGTTTAAAGAGAAAAAACAACTAAAAAAGAACATAATCCAAATGGTTCTTCTTTACCCTTGCTTTAGTAGCTGTGCTCTTTTGCTCTTTACTCTTGGGAAAGCTTCAAGGAATAAATGCAGGTCAGATTTAAGGAAGGGCAAGTCAATAGGAAATGTCCACACTCTGGGTGTCTTCAATTCCTTCCTCATGAGTTCTAAGCCGATTGTTAGCTGAGGCCACATGGCTTGAAAATGTACGCATTTGGTTCCAAAAAAGTGTGAAAGAAGAAAGAATACCTACTGCAGTAAAAACAGCACATCATGGAAAAACCATGTAATTCACTGCTGGTGGGTAGACCCTACTCTCAACATCCAAAGAGCAGCTTGCATTGTAGCTTCATGTTCACTTACTTATAATAAGTGAATTATAAATAAACACTCAGCTTCCCTTTTATACTCTTCTGAAATGCCTTCTCTACTCTTCTAAAAAGTGAAAAGCAGAAGTAGGTTTGCCTGAGGTCACATAATGTACCCTAAGGTCTTATTATTCCTATTGGAAGACATGAGGTGCCAAGGGAATTCCTGAATTTGGGCTGGATCTTACCTGTGTTTACTTCCTAATGTTTAGTCATTATTAGTGATCATGTGACCTCAATGCCTTTCAAGATAACATTTGATGTCCTCAATGCAAAGGAACTAATGTGGAAACTTTAAAGTGACAGAGGCCAATAGGAGAAGGGGACCAGGAACTAGAGAAAAGGTTAGTTCAAGAAGAATTAATTTAGAATGTAACACATATGTACAAGAAAGCAATGAGAGCCAACTCCCTGTATAGCTCTCCTTATCTCAACTAGCAAAAACCCTTGTTCCTTCCTATTATTGCTTATACTCTCTCTTCAACAAAATTAGAGATAAGGGCAAAATAATTTCTGCTGGGTATTGAGGGGGTGGGGGAGGAGAGGGAGGGGGCGGGGGAAAGGGAGGGGTCGGGGGAAGGGGGGAGAAATGACCAAACATTGTATGCACATATGAATGAAAGAAATTTTAAAAAAAGGACAAAAATATTTCCTCAACAGAGTTGATGATAAGTAAGTTAATTTGTGTAAAGAGCCTGTAATCCAATACTTACCGGATAAGCTATTGTTTTCATTATTTCCCTCAGTGTGTCTCACACCCAAGGCAAGTAAACTCAGGATAATCTCATTTGCAGATGCAATTCTTGGGTCAGAAAGACCACTGAAAAAATCCGCCAAAGCAGGCTCTTTAAGTTGACCACCTCAGGGACATTTCCTTCCTCAGATTTCAGCTTCTATAGAAACAATGAGTCATCAGTACTTGCTTCTTATGCTGGTCAGTGTGTGCATGGCCCTGCTCCTAGAGCTAAACTCATGTTCAGTGATTGATAGAAGACTTTGTTGCTCAGAATACACTGGCTGGGGCCCTGAGAGTGCATTGGTTTATCAGATAGAATACTAGGATGGATTCTGTCTGCAGGTTGATACCTCAGCTACTATTGATTACTGGGCATAAGAATTTGCTGGCTTCCCCTGCCTACAATAGATGAGCACAAATAATGCAAGTGTGTGTGTGTGTTCATCTATGCGTACCTGTGCAGTGAGGATTCTAGCATGTACACAAGAAGGTGGGAGGAGGGGTTAAAATAAACTCCTCCTTATATTTTCGCTTCCTCATTTTTGATTTCTTAAAACAAAGAGGCACCATCTGGCTCATGCATAAAATGGTATGTAAACGATTTACAAAGGTGAACTGCCAAATTTCCTGTTACACATTTAGATAGAGAAAACAAACATGCCTGCCTCAAAGCACCAGCAATTTGTTCTCTTTCCTAAGATGGTTCCTGAAGGTAATACATTTCCTGATTGCTGATACCTCTGAGATTGACTTTAGACTGACTCTGACAAGGGTGGGTTTGGGGTACCATTATTCTCTTCTCAGAACGTCAGCGAACACTAACTACTGGTGACCAAATGTAGGATTGAAGAAAGTTCTAAGCATCTTAAAGGAGATGAGATTGGGACTCCAGAATAGAAATGTTTTCATTCGAAAGGGAATGCCATATGCTGGGGTCCGGGAGGAGTGGAATTGGAGGGTATTGGAGCTCTGAACCTACTGACCCAGAGGGCCACACATGGGCTTTTCTGTTCATCCTGTTACTCTATGCCTAGCACTGTGACACTTAGTAGACATCCAGTAAAAATATCAGTGGCAATGTGAATTCAGAGTTAGTCAGTAAGTGGATAAAGCCAGACATTGAGGAACCCAGACTGGCAGATACCCACCAAGGAGGGGTAAGCCTTTGGAGATAGGAGTGGAGTTTAGCAACAGACTTCAGGAGCAAGTGTTTGTCTAAGCAAGGAGATGCAGCGTCTGGGGAAAATGGCCTGAGGAAAAAGGTGAGTGGCAGTCTGAGTCAGGGATGACCGCTTTTGGTCAAAGTGGGATTCTGGTAAGGCATGGAGTCAAATGTCTAGAAGATGAAGGGGCACATGCCAAACCCCGGCGAACACTCATACAGGACCATAAAGCAGGTCTGGAAGTTGATAGCACAGAACTGGGTTCTAAGCTGGGGATTCCAGGCCAACGTTCTCAGAAGTTCCTGGAAGGGATGATAGGAATGACCCTTAGGTTGTGTGAATAATTTAGAACAAGCTAATCTGGCTGTGAGAATATCTGATTCTATGGCTATCATGGTGTCTCATGGCAATGCTGACAATTGCAGGTTCCTGGACT